AAAACAAAAAAAAAACATTCTTATACTCTATATTAAGAGTGTAACTGGGTCAAGACGCACAGCCATGTTGTGCCGGACGGTAATATTTATGCTGCTTTCATCACCACTATATGTCCCAGTAATTCTCATTGCTGGGATTCATTTATTTGAAGCAGTGCAGTAGGCGGCCACTACAAATGCCCTACGATCAACACTTTTCTTACCCAGTGGTAACTGTTTACTGTTAAAATGTATACCTGAAGCTCTTACTGTATTTGTTTTATGATATATTTTTTATTAATTTGTATAATTTTTTTAACCAGCTAGGCCTGTTGTGTTTGTGTCAAAAAATTAAGACTTACTACCGAAGAAAGAGTTGGGATGAATGTGCTGAGACGATATTGTTGAAGTCAAGTGCAATGTGGGGGGAAGAATGTGTTTCCAGAAAGTTAGCTGTGAGAAGAAAGGATTACCAAGAGTGCTTATTTTTATGTTCCCAACTTTGTTAAATGCTTTATTATTAAATGAAGCTGTGCAGGAGCTTGGTTGAGAAGGTGGGACAGTGTGTGGAGAATACACCCCCCTGGCCGTTGTGTTCCCCGGGTGAGTGTCAGGTTTGAAATGATTTTTTTTTTTGTTTGTGTTTTTTTATACAGGATCTCCTTTGATTCTATGGGAAGGAGAAAACTAACATTGTATTTGTGGGGTTGCTTATTGTTCTAGAAAAAGCAGAATACAGTTTGACTTAACCTATGCATTCAGAGTCTGATATTTTTATATACAGTACGTCCTGTGTACTTGTAGAAATAATCTTAGGCACTGTCAAAGTTGTGTTTTTTCGTTCTCAAGAAAGTATGTATCTGTTCTTTGATAAAGCATGGTGAATCACTTGATCTCTTCCCTCTTTGTCTCTCAGACTGACCATGTGTCTTCTAAAAGCATATTAAGTCTGACTAATGTAATGACTATACTAGTGTAATAAGTTTGAGTATCTTAATTCTCACTTTAAATGAAGGGAACAGTTACGTGTGTTATGTTGCCTTTGTTGCAGGTGTGTGTGTGCGTGCGCGCACAGACAGGATGCGAGAGTAAAATCCCCAGTAACTCATTGAGATGTGTGTTTCAGCTGAGAGCCACTAGAGGGAGCTGAAGAGCAGATACTGGCATTAGATGAGCCACACTGTATGAAAGGGTTTGCCACTTTAAGTCATAATAGTGTTTTGTTTTTTCTTTTGCTTGGATTTAATGAATTCATAAAAAGTACTTTAAAACCTGCTGTTTGGATTCTGGTCCGTTATATTGTTTCACTGTCATGCACCACTGTGGGGATACCCGTGTAGTAGTGTGCAGACCCTCCTGCAGTACTCAAGCGCTTAAGACCAAGTGAATATGAGGCTATAATCCGCCGTCTCATTTCAGAGCCTTTAATGGAAAGTGAATGCTGACCAACTGACAATGATAAACTCTTAATTAATAATTAAGAAGAACAGTTCCCATTCAAGTGTACAAGTACTAAATGAAACCTGTCCTTCTCTACTTCACTGATCTCACAAAAGATGATTCAGTTTAGGAAGAATGAAACTATTAGCTATGGTTGCGTTAATGATTTCATTATTGAATTCTAGATTTTTAAAAAAACATTACAAGTTTAGCTTTTAATGAATTCCTACCTGCAGATTGATTCTAATAATGATGAATAATAATTGTTGGTTTGATTAACATTTCTAACCTATCAGCAAAGTGGTGGACTATGGATAAAATCCTGTATCATGGTATATGCAAATCTATTTGTCAGTATAGGTATTTATTGAGATGCAGCACATTTTCTGGGAAAAGTCCTGGAAGCTGTATAATAGGTAGAAAGATCTGTTTTTCACTAATCAAGCAAATGAAATAGCTGCCCTATAAAGTACTTCATCACATTGATGCAGAAAATCTCTAAATATGTACAGTGATTTGCTGTATTGCCCTCAATGAACTAAGACAAACAAAGTTATGTAAGGGAGAGATAACTCGCCTTAAACAATATGACAAAATCTCTTGTATCGTCTCGCAGTATACACGGTAAGGTCTGCAACCATTTTTATACACAGTCCACTATTTTCAGTGGCTCAAATGTACATTTTGGACAAATTACCAATCAGATAAAATGTTCAGTTGGCAGTGACTGGGCAGAATTGTGGAACCTGTGCACCAAATGCTGGGTTTCTTCATTTATGATGCCTTTATTGGAGCTGTCTTCAGTTGTAGTTAGTTGTTCTAACTGTTGCTATTCTGTAGTAAATACTTTCAAATTACAACGGAGAGTCTGCAATTAAAGCCCATATTCATTATATAACCAACCTGTTTTGGTAATGGTAAACCGCTAAAATAAGAATTGTGTCAGTGTCCAAATATATATGGACCTAACTGTATAAACCTTTCATCACCAAATCACCAAGTAGCTGGGATGTCGCTGTCATTCAAAAAAAAATTTTTTTTTTTACACAAAAAGTCTTTATAAGAAGGATTTTGACAGCTGTTGTACTATGTTTCTTGTATTTTCTCCTCAAGTGAAATAAAGCTGAAATTTTAAATAGAGAACTGATGAAAATCTGTTAAATCAAGTTAATCTATTTGCTGCTCAGATACATATTTTCACTCATTGGTTTAGATTTCCTTTAAACGGTTAATTTAACGTGTGTTTATTAGTACTTATTATGTGCATTATTAACACTAATAAAAGGCATTTCTGGAAATGTGCCATGTTTGAAAGTGCGGCATTGTTGTGCCGTCCAGCTGTGGTTTTGTCTTTGGCCTGTCCATTCACTTTTGACCTGCATTTGCACAACAAGCCGGTGTTGTACACTCTTTTGTTATGTTCCCTTTTTGATTTAAAGAACATAAACAACATCTAAGTTATGGTCATACCGGCACACTGTGTATCTGTGAAAATCCTTAACCTCTTCGGTGAAACGAATACAATAGTGTTCATGTGGTGAGCAGATGTTCAGATGCGGCAATCTGGAGAGCACAAATATTACATAATCTGAGCAGAATGGTGTTGATAAAGTGTGTGTGAGTGTGTGCAATCTAAACATAGGGACAGAGGAATGGAAGGTAATCAGGATACATATATATACATGTATTTCACTGGATGCCGGCGAATCTACATGCCTGTCCGTCGTTGTGTTGTGTGTGTGTGTGTGTGTGTGTGTGTGTGTGTGTTGTGTGTGTGTGTTGTGTGTCTAGACTGGGGCTGAGGAATCAGCTTAGGGCCCTGCTGTGGCTGGACGTGTCTCTCTCCTTTGTTCCGGAGTGAGACACTCATAATAAGCTTAGTATGAACAGTCATAACACCTTCATTGTTTTGAATCAGCTCCGCAAGCTTCCCAGGCCTCAGTCATGGGCAAGAGACGCTGTAGACCGGCATGGTCAAGAACCCCTAAGAGCATTTTATAAATGGAGGCAGAAGGCGACGTTACTCACAGGTACGTGCCTCGGTTGATGTGCTTGGACTGTGGCCCTTGGTGCAATTGGTGCACCTCTCTGACAGGCATAATGCGGAAAGCCAATATACAGAGCTACTTATTTAAAACACAAATACATGCATGACACTGTAAAGCCTCTTAATGGTGGAGTAAGATGTACAGTAGCTTATATGTGTATATATCCCAACAAATTGGGGGACCCCATGAGTGATCTGTGCCTCTTATCTGCCGTGCTGTTTACTTCCAATATGAATATAATAAGTCATGAATCCGCTGTTTGTATCAAAAGCACGATGCAGCTATTTGTCCTTCCAGCATGTATAAGGCCAACAGCCTGAAAAAGGTCCAGCTATAATAAAAGTGCTTTACAGTGACCACTGTAAAACATAGACAAGTTGGATAAAAATCAGTGTCACACAGAGTGGTGTATAACGAATAAAACCTTAAACAAGTAAATGTACAAAAAACTAGACCCAATATGCCCACAAGGCCTGGAACCTACTGAGGAAGTCTTTTCCAAATACAATGCGTCTTTAGATTACATTATATGAAATTTATTTATTTTATTTAGCTGACACTTTTACAATATGCATTCAACCATGTGGATGCAACCCAAAAAATTCCAAGAATCATGCAAGCACCTAAACTTGATCAAACATGCTGGATTTACAAACAATAACAAACAAAGAAAGCGCTTCATTTTTATTTAATTGTTTTTTGATTTCTGCTTTGCCTGTATGAAAGCAAAAACCATCAAGTCTTCATGTTGCGAGAAAATATACATTGATGGAGACATCACGTGAGTTGCAAAGCGGTTTTGAACCGGGCTCAGAAAGATGGCGTGGGTGCACAGAGAAGTTCAAAGTCAAGGTCTGTTTGCAGACAATCCATGTAGCTGAAGCCAGAGAGACTGTTGGAGTGCCCTGCGTGGGTTTCACTGTGTGGCCTCATTCAATATGTGACATGCCCTGTAGCCCCAGTGTCGAGTAGGCTGGGAATGCAGGGTCTTGAGGGGTGAAGATTAGGGGTGGAGGGCCTGAGGGGGCGAGTGGGAGAGCAGACACTGAAAACACAGCTTGACTGTGTTTGTGCATTTGCATGCAATAGTGAGTGTGTGTGTGTGTGTGTGTGTGTGTGTGTTTAAAATGAGTAAGATGAAATGTAATCTGTAGTTCCATTTTCTCTAAGTAAATGCTTGAAAAATGTTGGTTGGTTTTTACCATATTTTTTATATTGTGTTTTCAGAGAGAGCTCACAGAAACAGACTGCAGGGTTCAGCCTGGAGAGCACTGGGCCTCTTTGGGCACAGCAGGGGCTCAGCTTGGGAAGCACGGACTCCATACTCACACACACTCTCACACACACACACACACATGCACACACAGCAAGGCTACTAAAATGTTGAATTACTTGTTCTTCTAAAGCTATTTGAGCTCAATGGCGTTCCTGAATTACGATAAGGATGTGTCACTGTTTGATTGGTTGTATGATCCTTTTGTTTTATTGTCTTGTTCATGTTTGCAGGCCAACAGACCTCCAGCCTGTTTATTTAGTTACAAAGCCCCATTTTCTGCAACAATTCCTGGTATTGGCTTTTGAGGAACAAACCAGTTTTTCACAGCACGGTATCAAGCTCTCTGTACTACTTGTGACTTCTTCCATGTCAGTATTGTGATGGTAGGAGCCTGATGAGCCTTGAAGCTAAAAGTATTTCCATTTTAGCGATATGCCTTTTGTTAGTTTTTCCCTAACTACATCACTAACACTATATTCCAACACTGACACAATGCATTACATGTGAAAGGGCATGTAAGCAGTATCTTACGATGAACTTGTGTAACACATATGTAGTCATAGTTGGGATAAGTAATGATCAAAATATCAAATATCAAAATATCAATATCAATAGCATTGTATTTTTGTACACCATTCCATGCATATGCTCATCAATACCACACTTCACTAGTTGGGGTGTTGCCAAAGTTTTGCAGTGGTTGATTCATTTAAGCCACAGAATGAACTATGACACCCAACTGGAGGACATTTTACAGCACATGCTGTAACAAATACAAACTTTGTTTGTGGATGCATATTTTGTCACTTGAATCAGTTTAACCTGAATAGTGCATTATGAGATATGGAAAATACAGAATCAACCACAGTTCAGTGAATGTGACACTCAATGCGGCCATATTCACTATAACTTTGTGTGATTCTACATCAGCCACATTCGTTCATTGTGTTTCATTATATTACATAATTTGTTTGGTCTAAGCTGTATGCAAAATGGTGCATCCAGTTTGGCAGAAATTGAACTCATAATATCTAAAACTGTACATGTATGTGTCTATGAGCTCTCTCTGAAGTGGATGGTATGGCACCACTATTTGGTGCACCAATATAATGTTTATCATCTGGAAAAAAAAAATGTGCTGTTGGTCTTGGAGTTTTTGAGGTACGGAAACTTTTGGAGAAAAAGAAAAGGTGGAGGATGAAGGAGAAGAAAAAGAAGCATAGAGGGTTTAACCTAATTACTATCTAGAATGAGGCACCATAGTACAAATAAGTAACTATCAATTAATAACACACCTCTACACTCAAATTTACTCAAGCAGTTTACATGGGCCTTACTGCACTGAGTTTGGTGCCATCTTCTGGAGACAGACATTTTATTCAGATGGACAGGAAAGATTTTACAGCTAGATGTTTATCATGCAGTAACATTGTGAGCACCATTAACAAGTGGGAGAGGTTTGCCTACAGAGCTTTCTGTCTTTCTTTTTTCCTAACCCTAGGTGCCTAAACCAAAAATAAGGCTTCTCCCATTTGTACAGCATTATCACACATGCTACTGTGTTTGATTTTATGCATATGGAAAGACAGAAGATTTTTTAGAGTAGATATATGCAAAGGATCTTCTAGAATGCACACTGATTGTATATTACAAAATAAATTTCAGTAGCTTATTTCTTTACACCTATTTTTAAAATGTATGAAGATCCAAAATGTTTACTTCGTGCTTGAATTGTATAATAAGTTATCGACTGTACTTTTTAGAGTATAGCTAAATGTTTCCTTCTCATTTGCACTGACTTTGCAAGCTAAGGGTTAAGGCAGCCAGCGCCTTACGCACAGGTGTCTCGCCAGTCCTCTGTGAGACAGCGCCTGCAAACTGTTGGCGAACAGTTTTTTTTTTTCTCCCACTTTAATTAAGTTGATCATAACTGTAACTCAGCCGGGGTTTGCTGTCGGACTAGACAGGCCACTGTAATTCATGTAGTTAGATCTTAAGTGGGTTTGCGCACAGCAGCCCTAATCTCTTGCTACTATTAAACGTGGAGCGACTAACCTGGAGAGCTCTCCACAGCGAGACCGGTCTCGCACGCTCCTCTTATCGCTATCTTTATGTTGCATCCGATTCCAGTGGTCAAACAAATCATTGCGCGACAGTTTGTAGATATTTTACAGAGTTTTTTTTTTCTTTAAAACTTTAAAGTCGTGTTAAACTTTTGGTTTTCAAGATTTTAGTGCCCGTTTCGTTACGCGCCGGATATGTGGTGGATGCTGTTTCCCCGATGGATTTGGTTTCTTCTGGGACATTGTTACGCCATACTCCTTTATATGGACAACTGCCGTGTGAGAGCGATGCCCATGTCTGTGGCAAAAGTGGTGTACTCTCACGCAGGTCTGTGCCCAAATGACCTGAACCCCAACCTGTGGGTGGATGCTATGAGCACCTGCATGCGCGAGTGTGAATCTGACCAGGTGGGTTGACCTGCAGCTGACGGTGATGTAGCCTGCTATCTATCTATCTATCTATCTATCTATCTATCTATCTAAATTACATTAGAATACTTTTCAGTCTATTCATGAGGCCTTCAAAATTGTCAGATTGTCTCAGTTCCACCAAAATCCCTGTTTTCCTTTGCATGTATGCGTTCCTGCCTGAGAGGGTTAAAATAAAAATAGCAAGAAGAAACCTAATTCAACAAAAAAATAATTTTAGTGGTTAGGTAATGTTACCTGTGTTACATTTTTTTTTACTAAATTTACTTTTTTATTCATGCTGGGTCATGCTGACCAGCTATTGGTCAAAACACATCCACACTGAAAGTATGCATTCAAAGAACCCTCTGATCTAAATTCACCACAGTGAAATCTGCAGGTGAAGTTTTATTGAGAAGGATTTCAGCAGTTTTGTGCCGTGTTTTAATTCAAACTGTAGCCTATCTCAGCTGTTAAAATCATCAAATGCTGGTATGTGCTACAAACGTTCTGTTTCTTCTCCAACTTTAGGACTGTGAGTCCTTTGAGAAGTGCTGCCCTAATGTCTGTGGTAACAAGAGCTGTGTGGCAGCACGCTATATTGACATTAAGGGCAACAAGGGCCCCGTTGGAATGCCAAAGGGCGCCACCTGCGACAAGTTCATGTGCTCCCAGCAAGGGTCCGAGTGCGACATCTGGGACGGCCAGCCTGTCTGTAAGTGCCGGGACCGCTGTGAGAGAGAACCCCACTTCACGTGTGCATCTGACGGCATGACATATTATAACAAGTGCTACATGGATGCAGAGGCCTGTTCCAAGGGTATCTCTATCTCTGAGGTCACCTGCAGGTAACATGTTAAGTATTTTAGATCTCTACTATTTGTTTTTGGTGTGAAGAGGTAAAGTTGTCTTGTTTTAGTCCTCAAAATTAAGACCTTTGAAAAATAACTTTTTTTCCTGGCTGTAGCACAAAAAAGAAAGGTATTCTGTGTGTAATATGTTAATATAGTAATTAAAGACGAGCCTTTGACATATCCTGGCTCTGATTAATTCCTTTCTTATTCAACCTACCTACAGGTACCACCTGACCTGGCCAAACACCAGTCCACTCCCCGCGGAGACCACCTTACATCCCACCACTGCCCTCCAGACCACCCTCCCAGCTGACATCCAGCTCCCCACCATACACAGCGGCCCCACCCAACAGGCTGTTTTTGAGGGTGAGACAGCGAGCTTCCTGTGTGAGGTGTCTGGGAAGCCAAGGCCAGAAATCACCTGGGAGAAACAACTGAAGGGCAAAGAGAACACCGTAATGAAACCCAATCATGTCCAAGGGAACGTCGTGGTCACCAACATTGGCCAGCTGGTCATATACAATGCGCAACTTCAGGATGCCGGCATCTATACGTGCACAGCCAAAAATGTTGGGGGTAGTGTATCATCACACTTTCCCTTAGTAGTGATCAAGAGAGAAGTGAAAGGTAAGAATGCAGAGGGGAATAGCACCAACCTGCCATTTCCAGCTGAAGAGTGCCTTAAGAGTGCAGACACAGATGACTGCGGAGAAGAGAGCATGAGCTGGTACTATGAACCAAAGAGGAACAATTGCTTCACCTTCACTTACAGTCAGTGCAATAAAAACCGTAACCATTTCGACACCTATGAAGACTGCATGCTGTCATGCGGTGCAGAGCTGGCGGCTCCCTGTAGCCTACCGAGCCTCCAGGGGCCTTGCAAGGCCTATGAGCCTCGCTGGGCTTATAGCAGCAGCCTTAAAAAGTGCCAGTCCTTCGTGTATGGCGGCTGTGGTGGCAACGAGAACAACTTTGAGTCTAAAGAGGCCTGCGAAGAGATGTGTCCCTTTCCGAAGAACCACAACTGCAAGATGTGTAAACCCCGAGCCAAGATGGTCACCAGCTTCTGCAAAAGTGACTTTGTGATCCTCGGGCGTGTGACTGAGCTGACTGAGGAGCAAGAGTCAGGCCACGCGTTGGTGACAGTGGAGGAGATCTTGAAGGATGACAAGATGGGTCTGAGGTTCTTTGGCAAAGAGCCCTTGGAGGTGACTCTTCTGAACATGGACTGGAACTGCCCCTGCCCCAATATCACTACAGCCAACGGGCAGCTCATCATCATGGGGGATGTTCACAACGGGATGGCCGTCCTACAGCCCGACAGCTTTGTTGGCTCCTCCAGCACTCGTAGAGTCAGGAAGCTACGTGAGGTTCTCCACAAGAAAACCTGTGATTTCCTTAAAGATTTCTCTGCCGTCCAGTAAAGTCTCACACTCCACTGACCTCACCAGTAACTGCTAGTAAACACAAAACTAGTAAATTATCTGTATCATTGGAGGTTGCCTGTTTCAGATGTTTTTCCATAAACACTTCTTTTTCCTTATTGCTCAGTAGATCTCAGAAAATTGCTCCTCACAGTTTTACTGTTGTCATTGATTCTTTTTGTCAGTTGTTTTCATTCATGACTTCTGTCATGTTTTTTTTTTACTGGAATCAAGTTTTGATGGCCACACCTAGGGTACACTGTCTGGAAAGGGCAGTTAGAAGGGGATTTAGTGTTAGCAACAAGCATTTACCCTGTACAAAGTATTTAATCTTTATAGTGGTTCACTAAAATGGCATTATATTTGCTCTCCATGTTATCTTAAACAAACTAATATAATTCATTTAGCAGTATTTTTATAATATGACTGGTACGTTTGCTTTATGTATTTTGTGGGTTATCACAAAAAAAACAATATAAAGAAACACTGTGTAACATCTGTCCAGAGCACTTGAGCTCACAAAGCCTCAGATTATGTACCAGAATCAAATAAGCTCTTTGGTTTCATATTTTGTGGAATCTGTTTTGATACGTTTTTATTTTCAGTTTTTCAATACAGAATATGTATGTGGACTTCTGTACTTTGTATTTATTTTTTTTGATCTATTTCCTAGGGTATATATATATATATATATCCCTAGGAGCAGTGTCTCTCTATATGAATCTAATTTAATTAATTACACATTAATTACATAGAGAGCATATTTTTATGTTATATACTAATGTTCATTAAAAATTGCAAAATGAATAAAGATGATTTAGAAAATACTACAGATGTCTTTGCTTTGTGATGCTGTTCTGCTGTTCCATGTTAAATACAAAATACCCAACATGCTTACAGCCTATCAAAAGGCTCATGCAGGCGGTGCATGTGCTATTCTGTAGTTGACATCCCTCCATCCATGTCCTCCTCCTTCCACTTGTATTGCACACACACACAGGGCCCTGTCTGAAGCAGGTCACATTCCAGCCCAGCTGTGGTGGCCTGCAGAGCTGTGTGTTATGTTGTGTCTGGGTCTGGGGCCCTTGCATAGCACACACCCCACCGGCCATCCATTGGCCTTGGGCGGCCCCTTTCATGTGCAAGAGGCCGGGGTGAAGGGGAAGAGGAGGAGGAGAGGGATGTTGGCTGACTCTCTTTCTTTCACTCACTCAGTTGGCCACATCTGTGTTAAAGGGGCATAATAAAGAACAGAGAGAGGAATGGAAGGAGTAAAAGGTCAAGGGGAAATAGGGGAATTTAACCCCTGAATTGAACTAAAGTTAGGATTGATCTCCATTTATACAAAATCATTCTTTAGAATTTCTAGCTTAGTTCATGCTGATGCTTGTGGCTAAATCCTGGTGTGGGAGACCAGCGGGGCATACAGGAAACAAAACATAAGGAGCCCCTGAATGTTTACCCCCCTCCCCCTCTGCTCTTATACCCCCTTCGTCAGCCCTCTCCCTCAACTGTCTGCCCACTCAGACCAACAGACAGCCAGCCTTGGGTGGCGACCTCTGACCCTGCTAATGAAAAAGAGGCCACCAAGGAAAAGGCCATTTTCATTAGAACTGTTGACAAGTGTTAAGTGACTGGCTGAGCTCCAGACTTTCCATGCAGCCCCCTTGATGCCCTACACATAACACAGGCGGCTGCTGATTTTAGTATCAAGTTCACTTAGAGACCACCAGACAGGCAGCCTGCCAGACAGACCATAATAACAAGCCAGACAGCCGTAGGCACAATTGTGGGGGGGGTATGGGGTGCAATGCCCTCAGTGACACAGAATCAGTGAGGAACTCAGTTCAGGGGGATGCTCAACTTTTTGTTTCAAGATAACTAATACACATACATTTTCATTGCTTGTCTTGCTCTGGAAATAGACATGTTTTTCACATAATATGCATAACCCACAGATGCTCATCATTACACAAACTTGGATGGAAATGTTAGGTGAAAAGCCGATTTATTCAAGACAGCTCCGCCGATTTAGCATCGCGCTCCTATAACACTGTCGGATTTACAATAGACAGTTTAAAAGATTGAAATGAGCAAAATCTGGGGTGCAGAGTGGTATCATGCTTTTTATTTCAAGCATTGTTCTTTGTTATCAAAACCTGGTGCCTACATTACCCACAATGCCAGGAGCCTCAAGCGGATATAGACTAGGGCTACAGAGGTCTGGTAAGATCACTTTTCTCTAACTCCACACCCCCTTACAGGAGCCACAAAAGGCTTTATAAAACTCATACTTAACGTATGCAGTAGTACAAGTACTCCGCACTGCAGTTGGTTTTGCATTGTGTCATGTCTGTGTGTACAATATTTCAATAAGTAGATAGAAATTAAGAAAACTGTATTACTGCTTTTTCTGCAATTCTTTCAATTCAGTTGTCCACTGGGTGGAAGCACAACACTTTACAAAGCTGGTGATAGGGTGAGCTCACTGCTGGTTAAGTCTTTGGTATGTGTCATTTACAGTTTTCCTTCATGAGCAACAGTTGATAGTTATTTACTGTACATCACAATACTGTGTACAATATTAAGCTTAACAAATCAGTTTAACTCATACCCAGCCATCAAGAATGTGAGAAGACCCCATATATGAGCCCCACTATATTGAAATATATTTGGGTAAGGCAGATGGAAGCACTAAAATCAAGAAATTAACGGTTTGTACTGGAAACAGGTTGAAGTGAAACAGGTATTTTTTACTTGCTTAGACATATCATGTTATTTAGGACCTCACAATACACAGAATGAGTAGTTATATTGAAAAATAATTTTGGTGAATAATTGTCCTTTTACAGTACATCTCAGCTTAAATGATGGAGCGATTGCGCTTCTCCTGGTCTGCAGATTTGTCCACAGCCACTGTTTCAATCTGAGATTCCACACTGCTACCTTGTTTGTCCGCAATAAAACAGCAGATAAGTTGGCATCATGTATTTCTTTATAATTCTGATGCTTATTCATTGCAACCCGGGTCTAAATGTACCAACTGGGTACAACAGGGAGAGTGAATCCTTGTTGTACTTGTTAAACTCCAGGCAACTGTCAATTTCTCAGACGAGAATTCTTGAGTCACATCATCAGACAATCAGTCCACTTCATCAACTGAAGATTTACAATTCTGAAGGGCAAGTCAAAGAGGTCCCTGACTTCTTTCTCACAGTTTGCAGGTAACAGTGGTTCTGATAATTCATCTCCTGTTAAACTAAAACTGCGATGTATGGTGATGCTTTTACTGTTATATGGAAATGTTCAGCCAAATCCTGGCCCTACTACCTCAGATTTCAAAAGTAGATGTGGCCTTGGTTTTAAACATTTAAATGTTAGAAGATCACTGTGGTCTACCCCCATCTGCTGCAAAAGTTGCTTTCAAATCTATTTCAAATATTTTACATGAATTAAATGACTCTGAATTCATCCTTATGGGTGATCTGAACTGGGACTGGCTTTCAGGGACATCAGATTGTTTTAAAGACCTGTGTGACTCATTAAACCTAGTGCAACTCATTAATGCTCCAACAAGGCCAAATCCTAAAGCACAACATAAATCTACCTTGCTTGATTTAATGATATCAAATACATCTCACAAATACACCTCAACTGGCATAGTTTGCAATGATGTCAGCGATCATTGTGCAATTGCTTGTGTCAGGAATGATATTTTAAAGGTTTTCAAGTGCAGGCTTTCCTGCAGGATTTATCACAGTGATCTTAACAGAGTAACTCTGATTCCGGATGTTGAATTGGCATGGGAATATTTTCACTCAATTTTTCTGTCTATCTAATAAACATATTCCCATTAAAAAGTGTAGGATCAGTGGTAGGGAAAATCCAGAGCTAATTCATTTAAGAAATAAATCATGGGCCCAAGCTAGATTTTCAAACTCCTCTGCTGATTGGACTATGTTTAGAACCCTAAGGAACAAGTGCACCTTGATGATAAGAAATTTCAAATTAGAGTTTTATCTGAAGACAGTTACAGAGAATCTAAATAACCCCTCAAAATTCTAGAAAGTAATTAAATCTATGTTGCTTCAAACCTCCCTGAACACATTCTGGTTGGCTCAGATGAAATAAAGGATAAAGCTGCTATGGTCAGTCAGTTAAACAAACACTTTATCTGTGCTGGGACTGCAGTTGACAGCTCAAATGTAAATGCACCTGTCCCATGTTCTGCACTGCAACTGATAGAAATCTGGATTTGTTTGATTTAAAACTATTTCAGTTGCTCAAGTTTGTAAAGCTCTTAAAGGCATTGACTACAAAAGATCTGCAGGTCCAGACAATCTGGATCCTTATCTCCTAAAGGTGGCGGCAGATGTTATTGCTGAGTCTATTACTATCATAACACTGACGCCTTATTTGTAGATCTATCCAAAGCATTAAATGAATTGTTGTTGAAGAAACTTAAGGATGCTGGTTTGTGGCTTCTGTTCTAATGCTGTTAAATGGTTTAGAAACTATTTTGTATATCGGACTCAGTGTGTCCATGCAGAGGGCCACAAATCTGAGTTTCTTGAGATATCTAAAGGGGTCCCCCAGGGGTCTATTTTGGGACTTATTCTCTATTTTTATAAATGATTTAGGTAAGGACATTCAAGCAAAAATACACTTCTATGCTGATGACACTGTCATTTATACACATGCTCCTTCCACGGCACAGGCTGTGCAAGAGTTTCAGACTGCATTTCAGTCATTACAAACTGCTCTGCTGAATTTAAAATTGGTTTTAAATCCTCAGAAAACTAAGTTCACGGTCTTCTTAAAAGCTTGCCTACAGTTGCTTGATGATCTTAGTATTTTTACATCTGATGGTAAATCCATTGAAAGGGTGCCCACGTACAAGTACTTGGGTATATGGAAAGACGACAAACTTTTATTTAATGTACATATTTCTAATCTAGTTAGGAAGATCAAAGTGAAGATTGGTTTTTATTTTAGAAATAAATCTTGCTTTACTTTCAATGCCAAAAAAAAACTTGTGGAAGCTACTTTTCTGTCTGTGATTGTTTATGGTGACATATTATACACGCACACAGCCTCCTCCATCTTACGGGGCCTTGATTCAGTGTATCGTGCATCTCTACGCTTTATTACAAATGCAAAGTCCCTCACTCACCATTGCATTCTTTATGATCTAGAGGGTTGGACATCACTGACCACCTGCAGAAAACAGCACTGGTATATTTTTATATATAAAGCCATGCTAGGTAAACTTCCAGCTTACCTCTGTACCCTTCTCTGTCTCAATTCTGCTAGTTACCAGCTACGCTCCTCCAAGTGGTTGCTCTTTAATGTACCTAGGGTTTTGACAGATCTGGGGAAAACTGCATTTTCAAACTATGTACCCTGGGCATGGAATAATTTGCAAAAAGATCTTAAACTAGAAACATGTATATCAATTGATAAATTTAAAAGCATCATAAAGAATGTGGGGAAGGAGACATGTGGTTGTTTTTCTTGAGAGGCCATTGTGTTTGAATAGATGTGTTTTTTGTTTTTGTTTGGGTTTTTTTTTTGTGAATTTTGTCACAATTGTATGTAGCATTTTAATATGTTGTGTTGATGTATGGCTGCTACCTTGGCCAGGTCTCTCTTGTATAAGATTTTTGATCTCAATGAAACTTCCTGGTATAATAAAGGTAAAATAAATAAATAAAATAAAATTGTCAATTAAACACACACACATACAGTGTCACGTGCCCAATGAATGCCTCCACAAATCAGCCAGATGGTCTGGTAGATTTTGCCCAATGCACTGGATGTGTGCT